AGCCTCGTGGTACAATCACAGAGAAGCTCAAAATCACTTTCTAGAACATTCTCATTCACCGTTCCTGGCTGGTGGAATGATCTTCCCACCCCTATCCGGAATGCTGAATCCCTGACAATTTTCAAGCGGCAGCTGAAAACTCATCTCTTTCGACACTGCTTGACTTCATCCTAAATTTAAAAAAAAAATCTTTATTTATTCCTTCCCTTTCTAGCTTGTACTTATTTGAACAATGCCTAAAACTTGGTATTACAAGCACTTCCTGTGTCTGTTTGCCTCTTTAAGAAGAATCACTTTATGTATTCCCCAATTGTAAGTCACTTTGGATAAAAGCGTCTGCAGAATGTCTAAATGTAAATGTAAATTATATGATATTTTTGCCTTATCGCCCACCCATGACTTGTGCTACAACTGCTTGGCCTGTGCTACAAAACTTTCAAAAAAAGTTAACGTACAGCCCTGTCCTTAACATCTTCAAGGTCACCCTTATGAGTCTTGAAGAAAAGCTTATTTACTTAGAAAATGTAATACGTAATAATTTCTCCAGCGTTTTGAGAGGCATCTGCTATGCCAGCTGCCATCCAGTTGAATTTTTAATGGTACTGATCAGCACAGTGTGCCTGAACACTTAGGGATAGTTCACACAAATATTTAAATTTTCTCACCCTCAAGTTGTTTCAAACCTGTACGAGTTTCTTCTGTTGAACACAGAAGACGATATTTTGAAGTAGGGCTGCACGATATTGAAGAAAAATGTGATATGCGAAAGTATGCTAAATAATGCAATATTCGATATGCAATACAATATTTCTTCTTCTAAAATCAATTTAAATTGTATTAAAATATATTAAAAAAATTATATAACCAGCATATGTTTCACATTATTTAAGGGAAAAGAAAGCATCACTACAACTTCTGAAAGTGAACAGCCATGTTTTACTGTTGCATAAAACAAATCGGACATTGTCAAGCCTGATGCTATAGATTGTTGCCTGGGTTCAGGAACGAGGGTTGATTCAACTTTGATGATTTTTCTGCCGAGCATAGCTGATACAAATTAGGGCTGCAAGATTAATTGAAATTAGACTCGACTCGTGATTTGGCAAAGGCTGTGATTGTTTTAGTTTTTTGTTTTTTTTCTCATGCGCAGCTTGTCAGTGAAGCACGGTTCTGAGATCAGTAGTAATTACTGCTCCATACCGAAGGTCAGAGGGCATTCTCGCGCTGAAACTTCTAATATGCCCTGCAGAAGAAAGGTACTCCATGTCGTTCCAGGAAATTCATATCAAGTGTTGCCAAGTCCACGGTTTTCCTGTGGGATTGGGCTACTAACACTGTTGCCCCAGGTTGTTTTTCACGTCACTGTAATGCGAATTTTACCAAGGGAACCCAAGTGTGCCGCACGAGTATTGAAAAATAAAGCCAAAATGTTTCGATCGCCCCCAGGTAGCTGGTCCCATTATAGGTCAGTGGCGTGTGCTTGCGATCGACTCTGCGGGAGTGTGGGCGGGACGTGGCTCCACTTCGCTCACTACTGCGCAGACTTGGGTCCCAAATCAACGCAATATGTCCGTGCCATACTGCGACATCGGTGGCTTCACTTTTCTTCAATGGAACGTCCATCTTTTTTACAGTCTATGGGGGAACCCCACCGAAAGACATGTATTTTACCCCCCGGAACATGATTTTTACTGGGGGAGCCCCCTCGAAACGCCATTGGGCTAGTTTTGAGTAGCAATTGGGTGGGTTTTGTTTTGAAAACCTGGCAACCCTCTCCCTATCGCTGTAGCTGAATAAACAGAAGTTTGAACTGCGTTCATTGATTCAACATGACTAATAAAACACACGACTACAACAATATATGGTTTATCTTAGTTCTTCACTTACAAGCTGCGCATAACAGCTTTCGCGATTTCAAAATCGGGATTTACATATTTTACATCACAGCTTGTTGATTGTCTTGCGTCAGAGCACGAGCATGCACACGCATATCCCAACTAACAACCGCGTGCCAGATCCTATACCATCTGCGTCGACCTAAAACTTTGAGCATACATAACTTTTTGAAGTATTAAATCACTCATTTATCGCAAACCATTGCTATATGTATATTGCGATGCACATTTGCGATATTTCGATAATTTCGATATATCGTGCATCCCTATTTTGAAGAATGTTGGTAACCCAATATTCATATGGTTGGTAACCATCGACTTCCATAGTATAGAAAAAATACTATGGAAGTCAAAGGCTACCAGCAACTGTTTGGTTATCAACATTCTTCAAAATATCTTCGTTTTTTCACAAAAGAAAATCTAAAATAAAAAAATACTTAAAAAAAAAAAATCATTTTTGGTTGAGCTATTGTGGAAATGGTGTCATTTTTGCAGCCATTACTCCAGTCTTCAGTGTCTCACAATCCTTCTGAAATCTTTCTAATATGCTGATGCTCAAGAAACATTTCTTATTGTTATCATTAATATTTTTGTGGAAACATTATTTTCTCCCAGATTTTCTTTGATCCTTCAAAAGAACTGCATTTATTTAAAAATAGTCTTAGCACTTTTTTATCAATTTGATGTGTTTTATTGGGTATGAGACAGTAAATGTGTACATTTCTGTAGAAAAACTATTGTTGGAACTGAATTTCACTTAATCCCTGTTAGAAAGGGAAAACCAATCTTGCTCTCTAGAGATGCTTGGCTTGTATTGCATTGAGGTTGAAATTCTCCACTGCTCCGGGGGTCTTTGTATCAAGCACTATTGCATAACTCCTGTTGTGTAACTGTGTTAAATTTCACTGAATAACAGTTTAGTAAATTCACCTTCCTGTCATTCAAATTCAAATTCCTGTGGGATGTCCCACTGAAATTCACACTCATGATTTAAAATGGAAAGGCAGTTTTAAAATTCAGAATTTTGCCTAATCCACTGAAGGGTCAGACAAGTAAGAGAAAGGTGAGGTGAGGGCAGGGCTACTCACTGCTCCTCCCACATTATAGCAGCAGAAAGAAGGTCCCCTCCGATTCCTCCATGCTCCTCAGGTGTATATATTCCCAGTAATCCATGTTCTCCGGCCTTTTTCCAAACCTCTCTGTTGACCTCTCCAGCCTTCTCCCACCTATAACCATATATTTTGACACATTTTCATTCTGTATCTATAATATCATATTCAGGATGAGAGAGCAATGAACCACACTGGTGACTTACTGAGCGTGATGTGGAACAACTTCCTCCTGAAAGAACCGCCGCACATTTTGACGGAACAGGTCATGCTCCTCTGAGAAGATCCGTCTGGTGCCGATGTCCATCAGTGTCTTGGCCATGGGTGTTTCAGGTCGAAAAGGTGCTGTTGTTTCCCCATGCTGGACCTGCGCATGCTGCATTCTAGGAATCAAATTAACCCATTAAAATAGACTTTGCTATAAAGCTCTTTAAATATTCTAAATATAGTATTACCATTGATATATCATCTTGTTTAATAATATATTCATTTATGTGGTACTCCAAGGTACTACAAAAGAAAACAACTGTCCATAAACAGAAAAGCATAATAACATTGTACTTTTTTGTGTAGTATTCCTCAAAAAGGTGCATTAATTAGCATTCTGAAAAACATTTACTTTGAATGCGAGGAACACCAGAGTAATTTGAAAATGCACATATTAACCCTGATTAATCCTTTTTGTTTGTTATTTTGAACCATTCAGGGTGTGATGTTACAACCAAACCACCAAACTTTCCCATAATTTTACATATAGCTGCCCTCTTTATTTGTCATTATGATAATATAAATTCAACATTGATGATTAAATTGGTAATATTGAAAAATATCTTCTATTGCAAATACATAATGTGTGGGGGGGGGGGGGGGGGGGGGGGAGGAATGATGACCTTTTCCAGTCATCATTCCTTTGATGACTGGAAAAGGAGACTGAAAAAATTTGAATAGAAAAGACAAAACGGATCAAATCGGTAATTCAAGGTACAGATTGAAGCAGCATAAAGCAGTGTTTTTGTTTTGAATAATTGGGTAAATTATTCATCTTTTCCCACAGTGACATTTAAATGCATACATTTTCATTAATATTTTAGACATATCTGCACATATTGGGATAGAATATATTCCTTCTGTATTTAAGGACTCTGTTTTAACTTTAACTTAAAGTGCCCCTATTATGCAATTTTTAAGGTTCCTAATATTGTTTTGGGAGTCTCCTACAATAGGTTTACATACATGCAAGGTCAAAAAACACTTTAGTTTTCTCAAAATATGCATTTAATATCACCTAATTTTCCAATGATTCTCAAACAATTTGTTCAAAGCAGTTCTAAGATTGTCTCTCTAAACCCCTTCTTTCCATGATTGGTCAGATGGCCCATTCTGTTGTGATTGATCTACCGCTTACAGCACGTGTCGGAAACGATACGCCCATTGCCATAGTTGCGTATTTTGAATGCTTAATAGAAATTATAAGCATTTATTATTTATCATAATTGCAGGTTATGATTATAATATGCTGCAGTGGAGACAGCTGGTCCAAATAAACTGGGTACTGATCCATCTTTCAAGAGCAAGCATTTTGTGAAACCTGCGTTGAACTCCCCGAGATTAGAGAAGCAGTCATCAGTAAAATGACGGGAACACAAAAAAAGATTGGGGTTGTACCGCTGAATTTTAACTACTGATTCTTTGCAGACTCAACTTTCGGAAGTGAAAATAAAACGAATTTACTTTCACAGCGTAGGACACACTGTCTTCTCGACATATAACTTGAAGTGTTATAGTACAGTCATGGTGATGAGAAAATTATTACATAAATAAAACTGCATAGAGGGCAGATGGAGGTAGTGCCCTATTCTAAGAGCATCTTGACCACCCACGTTTTAGTTTTAAAGTCTTGATTAACTAAATTTGGACACAGATTTGTATGTTTAAGAGCAGCTGAAGCCCTGTTTATATCTAAATAAAATGTGATGTCATTGTTTATTCATCTTAGGCTGTGAAGACATTGTGGCAGACAGCATCTCGCTGGACTCTGTGGTGGCCATCCTGAAGTGGAGCTCACAGCCTTACGGCTCCAAATGGGTTCATCGGCAGGGCATGCAATTCCTGTGTGAGGAGTTCAGCCAGGTCATGACCTCTGACGTCCTCTACGAGCTTAGCAAGGAGCACCTCCTGGCGGCCATTCAGTCTGATTACCTGCAGGTGATAACCGTACACCATTTCACCTCAAGTACTTTTCAGATTTCCCAGTGCAAGATTATCTAGTTCAGGATTTTATGGGAGCTGTTTATGAATCAAATAATCTGCACTGTAAATTAGGGCTGGGTAAAAATATCTATTATCTCAATATTAATCGATTCTAATTTTTATGGAACGATATTGATACTTAAATCCCAATAATCGATTAGTCTAGCCTGTTTTCAGTTAATGGACGGAACGTTGAAGGGCACTTCCCATTCAATATATCGGAATAAGCATTGTGCTTTGGTACTTTTAATATGAAACAAAGTCTCAGATTTCAAATTCTTTCCATTGTATTGCAGTATTCAAACAATAAATGCCGTTTTGGCGCTGTTTAATATGGAGTGACAGATCACATGTCGTACCTCAGTTCAACAGACGCGGCAGTGCCCAGGCGCATGTGAACTGATCATCTCCTCCACATTAATACCAGTTTCAGCACAAAATAAACATGACTAAACATATGAAGGTAAGTTAAAAGAAAGTGTATAACTTTACAAGCCGTATTCTGTCTCATGAAATCGCTCAATCAGTGTTTCAGCCGCGCAAAGACATCAATATAAAGGCTTGTAAACAATGTCACGTAACGTCACATTTACCTCAGAAAAAACATATTCGGTGAACATAAACTCATTTGTCAGATAGAAAGATAAACTGTAGAGAGGGGCATTTTGCTAAATATATGCACCATATAACATAATCATTATAAATTGTACTGTTCTACAATGTTTAATTTATGTTTGAATAAATCCATCAAGTTTTTATGACAGCCACCATTATGTTTATATTTAAAAAAAATGAATTGAAGTAGAAATATTATTATGTAATTGTAACTTTATTTTTAAAACTTCATTAAATGTAATTTTAACAAATCAGTCAATTTTAACCTTCAGTATTATAGTAATGTAGTACCAACTGACTCTCATGTATATTTTACAGCATTAGTTGAGATTTTTTTTCCTTGAGAAAATTTGGCATGTACTGTACCAGATATATATCCAAAATAATCGATATTGAATCAAATTGGTTATCGAATGGAATCGCAAGCTTGTGAATGAGAATCGAATCGAATCGTGAAATTTGTGTCAAAATATGACACACATGACACCAATATGTAACCGGTATGTTCTAGAACCGAATCAGAACGCAGATTTCGGTGCCTCATTTCGGTGCCATGCCTGAGCGATTGATTGAAATATTTGTCCTCTGGTTCTCCGAAACGGATGTAAGAAGCATCATCACCGGCACCGCACGTAAAAAATAATTTCCTGACTGAGAAAATGCATGTGAACTCAAGTCGGAAAGCTCTAATAATACAAATCCAACAAATCTTTCTAGTAACTAGAGTGTCCATGTTGTTTTCACATTCTGACTTAAAAAGCACAACTCGGGAAATGAGAGCATCCGAGGAGCGCGTGAATGCAGTAAGTACACTTGCTCTGATGGCAACAGGTAGCCTTCCGTTAACTAAGCTAAACATGCTTAAATTAAAATGCCTAAAGCTAAACTTCCCTTCTATTTACATTTCTAAACCTGTTGTCCAACAAAAGAGAACATTATAACCTTTTTACTCCACAACACCAGTCAAATGCTTCCTTCTGTGATCTGATGTGGCTTCTTGTCACAGAATGAAGCAGAAAATATGTTCCATAGGCTACTTTAAAAAGAATACATCGGTTAGTAATGGATTATAAATATACTTAATTATTATGAAAATACCAGAGATGGCTTGAATAACACAGATAAACTATATTGTCACAGACGAGTGTTTATTGTCTTTGTTTTATCATTCAAAACGTTTATATGTTCTGTTTACTCAGTTACAGCTATGCCTTTATCCATATAAGGGATGTCCTGGAGGGTCATGAGTTCCGCTACTTCTGTGATTGGATATGTGGATTTTCTGTGCGAGGGTGCCCTCTGGCATCCAGTATGAATGAAACCGACATTGTGTGTTTATAGTGCTAATGGCCAATCCATTATTTTTTGGGGGGGAATTTTTATTTATTTATTTTTTAATAAGTATCGGTTTAGGCACTGGAACCATTTTAACAGTATCGATTTGGCACCGGTATTGAAAAAAACCCAAACGATACCCAACCCTAGTGGTAATTCAGGGTTACTGAATCATATTGCACTATTGGGAAATTTGTTGATTTCAGTCCACAAATCATTGCAGGGCTTCAGGCCTATCCGTTTCAGACAGCAGAGTGACAGTATCAGTCTGTTTATCGATCTCTGTTGATAAGGGCTCCCTTTTCTTAAAGGTCACCTGCTTTTGTTTTTAGACAAATGAGTCAGCTGTATCAGATGACCCCCTTAAGTCTCCTTTGTGAGCTTATATAGAGAGCTGTAACCCCATCTGGGATTTGGCGTGGCACACAATCTGTTTGCGCCTTCACACTCCTGTGTGCAGGGCTCCAGACTGCGCCTAAAACGGGTGCATTTGCAACCAAAAATATTAATTTGCAAATGAAGTTTTTGCTGGGATCGCCACTGGCAACTAAATACATTTACTTGTTATGACTTAAAAATTTGCATGTAATGCATTTTTTCCTGCTTGTTTTGCAATCACATCTTTTGGTATGTCAATGTAATAAACTGCGAAGCTGTGCATCAAAGTTTTAGTGGAAAAAACACAGCGTTGACGGCACACCTGCTAAAAGCAGCTCCAGTTGTGGCAGCATGAGAGAGAGTAAAAATGATGGAGACGTGCGAAGTAAAATGACAGAAAGCAGTGTCTATTTGAACCCATCATATCTTTCTCTTTACTACTATAGTACGAAATAAACATGAATGAACATCAAAAGGTATATTATAAGATGGCCTACAGTACAACTTTCTGAAATGTCATGTAATCGCTCATTCAGCATTTCAAACTGCTGAAAATGAATAAAGCTTGTAAACAATGCCACGTAACAATACATTTACCTCAGAATAACCATTCAGCGTCCATAAGCTCATTAGTCAGCTAGAAAAAATTATATACTATAAAAATTATATACTATAAAAAAAACTATAAAGAGGAGCATTTTGCTTAATTTATGCACTATATTGCTTATTCAAATTTTTATTTAACCTGTTGTCTACATAAGAGAGAATGCAAGGAGCTATAGATAAAATTCAACACTTCCTAAAATTGCATGTTACTAATGAAGAAGAACAGACTGGATATATGCAAGACATATGACAACATTTGAGGAGGATGATTTCAACATAGGATGATTTGAGGAGGAGCCCAAACTACACTCAATGGCCAAGTGATGCTTATATAACTATGGTCCGCGATATTGGCACAGACTCTGTGTAATAAACAATTCTTTGTGACTATATATAGTTCTCAAGTTGGAAAAGGCGTTTAGTTCCCACTTTAATGAACCTTAGTTCCCAGATATCTACAAGATGGATTAAAATGCTGATAAAGACTAGAAAAGATGAGACATAAACACATGACAACAATATGACTGAAATGTTAGTGTTAAAAAAAAAAAAAAGTTTATTCTGTGGCACTTAAAAAAAATAATTTGGTGCCTAATTTTGTTTCTTATAGGAGCCAATGACTCCTTAATTGATTTTTTTTGTCTGGAGCCCTGTGTGTGCTAGCTTTTCTTTGTTTACAAGTCTTCGTTAACTCTAGCCTGGGTCAAACCTGTTGAAATTATCTAACCCCAGTAGTGACAGAATTTGTAAACAAACATTAACAGAGACTAGAATGTTGTTTTTATATATGCTAAAAAAAGGGGCATTAACTGATTGATTCATTTTTCATGGATTTTTTCTAGTTACACTCATTTCTGCATTATTTCATTAGCTATTGTCTAGAGCTTGAGTAAAACTTGACATTCATTTTCAGTTAGTTAACAAATAGGTCTGATTGATTCATTTGTAAATCCTTCTGAATAAAAATTGTTATTATTAATTTATTATTATTATTGTAATTATTATGTAAGTCGCTTTGGATAAAAGCATCTGCTAAATGGCTAAATGTAAATGTAATGTTTTATTATTATTATTATTAATATTTGGGCTTAGCAAGACATATAAGAGCTGTTGGTCACGTCTAAATCCTGTTTACTCTCTCTCTCGCCCCTAATTTCAGGTCTGCACTCTACTACTATAAAAGGCAAAAAGCCCAAAAAATCAAATTTAAGAAAGTGTGGTCACCTTGATATAAAAAAAATTATTTAGTTTGAGGGTTAATCTGTGTCCATTAAACCTGGATCAGCTTCTGACGATGAATAAAATGAGATTTTGGCTGTGCAATATTCTCAGTAAGATAAGATAGAAAAATCATTTTGCTGAGGTTTTACCTGGCACCTTCAGGACCCGCTGTTATGAAATACATTGGTTTTATATATCCTGTTTTTCCATTCGATATCGTCCTGTTTTATTAAATGTGCCATCTTTAAGCTTCTCTTCTTCAGCCTTGCAGCACTGACTAAATTCAGTAACATAAACTGGTACTGTTCTTCTCCGCTCTTCACAGGCCAGTGAACAGGACATCCTCAAGTATGTTGTAAAGTGGGGTGAACACCAGCTCATCAGGAGGATGGCCGATAGAGGTATCACACGCAGACACTGATATGTCTCTAGATGCACATTAAAGGAATAGTTCATCCAAAAATGAAAAAATCTGTCATTTATTTACTCATGTTGTTCTAAACCTTATATGTTGTTTTTTCATTAAACAAAAAAGTGTTTATATACAAATCTTAAATGTGGTCTGTTTGACTTGTGCTATATTTTAACCTGAATTGTAGTGCACAAGTCATATTGACTATATTTATGGTGCTTTTGGGAGCATGATAGCCTGTGGTCCCCATCCACCTTCATTGTATGGAAAAGAGCAGCTCACATATTCTGCTTTTGTGTTCCACGGATGAAAGAAAGTCATGTAGATTTGGACCGACATGAAGGTGACAAAGAAATGTCAGGATTTTAATTTTTGTCTGAACTATTCCTCCATCATCTTCACAGACACACATACTTTTCTCTGGAATTAACTTTTTTTTTCTGTGCCGCTGAATTTGTCCGTTTCCACCTCTTGCTATAGATGGTGTTCTGAACTATGCCAGTCTAATGATTTATTCCCCAATCCTCCTAATGTCTAGAAATGATATGACTGGCTCAGCTCTGAGAAATCAGGCCAAGTGCTTTGCAATACAGAAGCGTAGCATATGGCTGGCGGCTCCAGACCTGGGTCTGCATTTGCTCTTGTGTATCCAACAGAATCAAATATACCCAGACTAACACTATCTTGAACGTTTATAGCTGGTGCCAAACCGCAAACACGATTTCTGATTGCTTTTCCCCAGAACACATTGTAAAGGGAAACAGCAATGCACCTATTCACCTTCATTTTGTCATTAACAATCTTTATACATGATACTGATTTGCTGTCTGAGGTGTAGATAGTAATTCAGGGTCCAATGCAGTGCAGCATCCCTAGAGCAGAGGAGCTTAAATTCCTCGCTCAAGGGCACGGCTGCGGTCAGGAGCTGCATGGTGATACTGCTAATCCTCTGGAAGCACACACCCTCCCACCCATCTTTGTCTAATCTATATTGTGGGCTAGAAAAGTTTGGCCACCGTTTCCTCCAACTCAAATTCTTGTGTGTGTATGTGTTTGAAACAGTGTGTTTCTGTGTGTTCCACAGAGCCTAACCTGTTAAGTGGTACCGCACATAGTGTGAATAAACGTGGCGTGAAAAGAAGGGATCTGGACCTGGAAGAGCTTAAAGAGATTCTTTCTCCACTGCTGCCTTTTGTCAGAACTGAGCACATATTACCAACAAACAGTGAGGTCCTCTCCGACACCGTGAGTGTGTTTTTGTGTCTTCTGTTTAATGTGTATGCCTTTTGGTTTGTACAATTTAAACTGGAATATTAAGGGGCAGTCACACTAGATTTTGAGCAAAAATAGCTTTTTGGCTCCATGCAGCTTGTCTTTATTGAAGTTTGCAGTTCTTTTGAAATATTCGGGGGCAGTAAGATTTTTTTAAAGTCTTTAAATATTTCATTGAAATAATTTAAAGTGACAGTAAAGACAGTTGTAACAATACAAAATATTTTTTTTACTAAATGCTGTTCTTTTGACATTTCAATGCATGAAAGAATCCTGAAAAAAATGTTTCATGCTTGTTACACAAATATTAAGCAGCACGACTGTTTTTAATGTTGATTATAATAATAAATGTTTGTCCAGCAGCAAATCGGCATATTAGAATGATTTCTGAAGGATCATGTGACACAGATGGCTGCTGAAAATTGAGCTTTGCCATTACAGGAATAAATTACATTTTGAAATTAAGAAAACAGCTATTTTAAAATGTAACAATATTTCACAATGTTACTGTTTTATTAAGGCAAAGCGTCAAAGAGAATATAGAAAAGAGTAGTGTTTAATCCTATATTTGTTATATAATTTTTTCACCAGTCTTGAACTGTTTAGCATCATTCTGTGAATATGCTTACATACCAGCTATGAATGTTAATGAATGAACATGAAACTGACCTTTAAGTACCCTTTAGTCTATAAAATGCACAGAAATTTGTCATGCCACATCAAGCCAAATGGGTAACATGTTACTTTTGTTTTTCTGTACAGCACACGCTGAATAAAAATGACAAAAATGGTGATATTGATTGATGTTTGAATGGGTACATACTCTGATTCACACTACTGCTCAGGATATAATTTGCTAGAGAGTCAGAAAACAGAAACCCCAATGTGCAAATGCTCCAGCAAATTACATCATCTTTCCATCGTTCTTCTAGATCACTCTTCTCAAGTATCGGTAAAGACTTTTCCTCTGCTTTTAACAGATGAAGAGGGGTCTGATCAGCACCCCTCCCTCTGACATGCTGCCCACAGCGGAGGGAGGCAAAGCCAATGCCTGGCTCCGGCAGAAGAGTGCTGGCATTTATGTTCGCCCAAGGTTATTTTCTCCTTATGTGGAGGAGGCCAAGGTAGGATGCTCTTCCTCACCTCACGTACAGTTGGGTGGTTAACTGTAACATTACAGTGCACTAGTGAAAGCAGAAAAAGTGATCAAAAGAAAAATGCACTTAAATGATACACCTTTTAATTAAATATCTCTATGTATCTGAATTCTTTAAAATACAACTTTAAAAAAAAATAAAAAGTACTTTTTTACATTTTATAAATTTGTTGTATGTAATTATAGAATGTGAATTAAATCTTTTTGAAAAGGCACTTTGTTTATAGAATAACCTTAGTGCAGTTATTAGCTACGCTCTTTTCATTTTATGACTTGCATTTAACTTTGTGTTTTCCTCCAGGTGGTTTTGGAGGAGATGATGGTTGAGCAGAGTGACCTGGTTAGGCTGCGCATGGTTCGCATGTCCAATGTGCCCGACACACTCTACATGGTAAACAGTGCCGTCCCCCAGTGTTGTCACATGATCAACCACCAGCAAATGGCTGGCAGCCAGACAGCTCCGCCATCTGTGGTTGCTAATGAGATACCAGGTGGGTTAAGCGCTCATTCATGCTTTGTAATGATGTATTGTTTCAGCCAGTCTTCAAAACTAGGCACTATACACTCACCGGCCACTTTATTAGGTTCAATTGCTTGGTAACACAAATTGCTTATCAGCAAATCACATGGCAGCAACTCAATGCATTTAGGCATCTAGATGTGGTGAAGACGGCTTGCTGAAGTTCAAACCGAGCATCAGAATGGGGAAGAAAGGGGATTTAAGAGACTTTGAACGTTTAATGGTTGTTGGTGCCAGACGGGCTGGTCTGAGTATTTCAAAAACTGCTGATCTACTGGGATTTTCACGCACAGCCATCTCTAGGGTTTACAGAGAATGGTCCGAAAAAGAGAAAATATCCAGTGAGCGGCAGTTGTGTGGACGAAAATGCCTTGTTGATGTCAGAGGTCAGAGGATAATGGGCAGACTGGTTAGAGATGATAGAAAGGCAACAGTAACTCAAATAACCACTTTTTACAACCAAGGTATGCAGAATACCATCTCTGAACGCACAACACGTCGAACCCTGAAGCAGATGGGCTATAGCAACAGAAGACCACACCGGGTGCCGCTCCTGTCAGCTAAGAACAGGAAACGGAGGCTACAATTCGCACAGGCTCACCAAAATTGAACAATAGAAGATAGGAAAAACGTTGCCTAGTCTGATGTGTCTCGATTTCTGCTGCTTTCTGACATTCAGATGGTTGGGTCAGAATTTGCCGTAAAGAACATGAAAGCATGGATCCATCCTGCCTTGTCTCAACGGTTCAGGCTGGTGGTGGTGTAATGGTGTGGGGGATATTTTCTTGGCACACTTTGGGCCCCTTAGTACCAATTGAGCATCGTTTAAATGCCACAGCCTACCTGAGTATTGTTGCTGACCATGTCAATCCTTTTATGACTACAGTGTACCCATCTTCTGATGGCTACTTCCAGCAGGATAATGCACCATGTCACAAAGCTCAAATCATCTCAGACTGGTTTCTTGAACATGACAATGAGTTCACTTTCCTCAAATGGCCTCCACAGTGACCAGATCTCAATCCAATAGAGCACCTTTGGGATGTGGTGGAACGGGAGATTCGCATCATGGATGTGCAGCCGGCAAATCTGCAGCAACTGCGTGATGCTATCATGTCAATATGGACCAAAAGCTCTGAGGAATGTTTCCAACACCTTGTTGAATATATGCCACGAAGAATTTAGGCAGTTCTGAAGGCAAAAGTGGGTCCAACCCTGTACTAGCAAGGTGTGCCTAATAAAGTGGCCAGTGAGTGTATATCCGTACATTGTGGTGTTTGTGAATCTGACTCATTTTATCAAGTCATTTTAGAAAGATTGAAATTTAGTTCACAGAGGCCAAGTAGATCATGTCAAACCAAGAGACATTGTTTTCTCAAGTTAATTTTGCTATTCTATTGCAAGAAGCAATTCAGTATTTTTTTAGGTATATATTACGTGAGTGGGAACATTGGCCTTGTATGTTGGCAAGCTTTGTGATCCTGTGGGTGTTATATAAAACATTTCAACACCAATTTTAAAAAATCCCTCTTATTTTTTTTGTCTTGTATGCCCATATTGTATTAATGTTATTTATCAACTATGTAATATTGTTAACTGATGGGCTTATTCATCTGTATTTGCACATTAAATAAGTCATCTGTTTTCTTTTTATCACCCTGTCTTTCAGTGCCCAGGTTGGCAGTAGTGAAGGAAATGATCCGTAGGCTGCAGGAGCTGCGTCACACAGACCAGGTGCAGCGAGCATATGCTCTGAACTGTGGTGAGGGTGCCACAGTCAGCTATGAGCTGCAGATCCGTGTGCTTCGAGAGTTTGGCCTACCTGACGGGGCTGCAGAACTCCTACAGGTAACCCAGTGCATCCTGTTTGCGTGGAGACTGACAAGTGTTGCTATGGCTACCGTGAATTTCTCTCTGACTTTCATGTCAGTTAGTATTACCTCGGCCTTTGATGAATATAATTTATTTTCCAGTGATTGCAGTTTTCAGTGATAGCAATTTTTTTATTTGAAAAAAATCAGTATGCGTATACTGATTTTGTTCAAATAAAAAAATATATATTAAAAAGAGAGAATTTAGTTGTTCAGATTTGAACACTCATTCAATGCATTGCAAATATCTGTATAAATGTGTGTGTATGTGTGTATATACACTATCATACAACAGTCTGGTCTCTTATGCCTCAGCAAGGCTGCATTTATTTGATAAAAATACAGTAAAAACTATTTAAAAATTTTAAAACAATTTAAAATAACTTTGTATTTTAATATATTTTAATGTCATTTATTATTGTGATGGCAGGAGAATACACTCACATTTCTACTGTAATTATTTAATGTCAAAACCAACTTGTCAGTCACTTCACATCCAAATAAAAAAAATTAAAAGACGTTGCTTTTACGTGAATGTCAACTATAGTTTACTGAGAATGCAGTGTGTACTTGCAGTCTGAAAAAAATTTGGATGGGAACAACTGCATTCATATACCTCTGCATCACTCCATGTTGTTTTGACTAGCATGTTTCTCCAATTACTATGCCCTTGGTTTAGAAATTCCCTGAGCTCTTGAACTGCTGTGATATCTTCTTGTCCTCACCATTAAGTGACCAGTGAACTTATGCTGGATAGCTTGGAAGGAGTCAAAACCTCTTCAGCATACCAGACAACCTATTAAGTCTAATTTTTGAAGCATGTCTAGCACAAACATGTCCTCACAATTACAACAGGGTTCCCGCAGGTCCTTAAAAAGTCTTAAATTTAGTTATCAAATTTAAGGCCATAAAAAGTCTTAAATTGTACATGAAAGTCTTAATTCTGATTTCAGGAGGTCTTAAATTTGGGGACAGAAAGACCAGAATTTGCGATATGGCTTAATGTGACGATTAAACTTCAAAAGGCAATGATTTCATTAAATAAACATGAGCACTACAAGTTTCATGTCCAGTGCTGTGCTTTGTGTTCTGCTGTTACCGGGGAAACAGTTATATTTCTGCTGTTCTGAAAGCGCCTCCTGCTGGCAGAGAATGAATGTGCATTTTCAATAAGCTTGTTTTATTGGAGTAGGGTATTCCTGCAACACCGGAGGCTGCAGATTCAGCTTTTTTTTTTTTAATGAATTTATGTATTAGCAGTTAATACTATTCTATAGCACTTGCTATTCAATTCTGTATATTATTATTTTTAAGGAATTATGTAGTTGTTTAATTGTATACACTTAAATATTATAATAATTATTGTCCTACATTTAATTATTTTCCTAATGTATTCATTAGCCGCTGCGCAGCACTTCACGTCTGATGTGTGACCCACTTAACAAAGTGCAGTAAATGGTAAAACAATTGTGGTACAAATTAATGTGTTTATTAGTACATTAATACATTTAAAATAATTTGAATACAAATACTAGTTTACAACATCCAGCAGCACAGTGAACTGTTTTGCACAGCTAAATAGGCTAAATGGAGATTGCTGACATCACCTCACACACTTAAGTTCACGCCAGCTCTTAGATAAAAAAATAAGATGGAAAGATAAAAAATAAATAGTTTCCATGAATCTAGTCTTTGCATATGTTTGTTTGATGTTTGAATCAGGTCTCCTCTGTTGGAATAGAATTGGCTAGATGGCACTGTCACAAAAAAGGGTCCTAGTAGAAATGCGGTCCTAGTACTGCGGTCCTGCAGCCTCCGCTATATTGCATGAACACAGTACTGGGGTTGTTTTTGTTCTGACCAATGTGAAAATCGACCCATGTTTTTACCCTGCAAATTGTGTTTGGTGGATCGATAAGAAGATAATTCATTATAAAAATCGAAACAGTAAAATGTATTTATATGTTATTTTCAAAACTTGAAAATCATGCTTTTTGTAGTCATTTTGCAGTTTAATTACTATAGACATTGCCCTACCCCGCTCATATGGTATTCATTTTATTTGTGCAGGTCTTAAAAAAGTCTTAAATTTGAGCTTAGAAAATCCTGTAGAAACCCTGTACATGTGCTGTGTTTCAGAATCCGCACAAATTCTTTCCTGAGGAGCGTTTTGGAGACGAGAGTCCCGTCCTGGCCTTACGGCAGTCAGGTCGCTGCCGAGTCAACAGTACACCAGCTGTGGAGAGCATGTTCACTGACCTGGAGGCTCTGGTGGGCTTCCGCCCCCCTCTGCCCCCTCCTCCGCCACCTTACCATCCCCCGGCCACCCCAGGCCATAGCCAGCAGCAGTATAAAACGGGCTGGAGACCTCGGGTCCCCACCCAACCTCCCTCCAGATCTTTCTCCTACCCCTGCAATTATGCACTCCTTCACAGGCAGCCCTCTTCCAAGATGGGTAGCCCAGTATACCCACCAGGAGCCAAGCCCCTGCCCCCAGACTGCACTAATGCACAAGGGGGGAGGAATCTTCATCCTGACAAGCAAATGGTGATTAATACCAATATATTATTCTCATTATAATTTTATATTAATTTATATTATCTTTTTAATTTACTTTGTATAATGTTTTTTTTAATTCATGTGAAATGTGTAGATTTTTGTTGGATTTGGTTATGAACGGCACTGAGAAGCTATTCTATATTATTTTGTCTAAATAAATTCAAGTGAATTGAATTTAGTTTTAATAAAGAATGCATTTAATGTAAATGCTTATTATCTAATTTATTCTAGCAGAACATGGAGCCTGTTATCAACGAGTTCATGCCGGACATCGCTATGGGTGTTTCGGCAATGACCCTGAAGGAGCGGCGCCTTCCGGAGGTCTCCATGGAGGTGGAGAGTCACGAAGCTCACCCTCACCTTTCTGTGAAAGGTACAGCTCCTCCCATCTCCCACAGCTACTCTAGTCGTCACCCGCACTCTTCCCGTAAGCGGCACGCAGCCGAACCCAAGCCTGAGGCCCCACAGCCTGACTTCCCAGATCTCTACGAGTTCCCTGGCCGTCACGTGCCTCCCTACAGCGGACCGGACCTCTATATCCACGGCCGTCAGGCAGGTGGTGGAGCACCACCTCCGTCCTACTCAGAGGCTTCAGAATCCCTCCGCTTGGATGTGCTGGAACAGCCTCCGCAGAGACTAGACTTGGCAATCGTCTCACAAGGGGGCATTGCACAAGCTGTGCAGAGGTCATGGCCCATAAATGAGACTGACCTCACCTGTGGGCTTGGCCCCTCCACAGAACAGTATGAGGAATGGCCCATGGGCCACCGGCCTGCTCCAGAAGGAATGGGGCTGAGCTTAGGAGCGAACGTTGGGTCTGGAGACGAGGGAGGGCTGGGTGCCCGAGACCGCAGGTCACCCAGCAAACCTGAATACCCCTACAGAAAGTCTGCTCTCTGACCCCTGATTAAAAAGAGACTGAGGACTGATTTAAATGCTAATTGTAAGCTAACAGGTGAGGCACCAGCAGTCCTGCACTTTGTGTTCTTTCGAGGGCCGACAGTATCTTGAAGTGTTGAACACCCATAAGCTACGTGAGTGGCTGCTTTTCTGAAGGCTAAAGGGAGATGTTGTGTAAACTGTTTTGGATAGGTTTGAAACCCAGAAGGGAGGAAGGAGAGCTTGGTTTGGTTGTGTGCTCCCTGGAAAGAGTTCAAAAATGCTAAAAAAAAATTTATCTGAGAGGTCCAAGGACTTCATTAAACAGCCCTGAAATTTCTTTCATTGTTCTGTATATCCAGGTTCTCAGATTTCCCTCACATGCTGCATATTAATGTACGGATATCACAGTATATTTCTTTTACTTTCATTTCCCTGAACGGACTGTGATGATTGGAGAAATATACATTCATCTAGATGCACAGATTTCATTCCTTAGGAGTAAAGTGAAATATGAAGGCAATAAGTTGCAAACTCATTACTTTTTCTAGTCCTTGAAAAAAACGACTCCTTCTGAGGGCAGAGTGGCAGTAATAGCTTGTGTAATCTGCTGCATATGCCGGCTTTTACATTAGCCTGTGCAATTTAAGAGCCGAGATGGAACATAAAAGAAAAAACAAGTGAAATCCCCTGTCTCCTTTGAGGCAACTTATCAGACATAACAATGGCACAGATGCACCATTAAATGTGAATGGGGCTTTGTTTTAGCGTGTTCCACAACTCAGATCTGCAGATTCATTCCAGTGTATTTAACTTTAAAAACTATCTGTCCTCTCAAACAAAAATTTGGCATCCTCTTTTGCATTCAGATTCTCTTTCCAAGGCTGTAGTTGGTGGCATTCCTGAGAGACTGCAAATATGGGTTAATCATTATCACCCTCGTTCTCTAGAACTGTACAGGACGCTCAACCAAACCAAGCTCACACCACATCCTCAGTCCTCTGGTTCAGTAGGATGGCAGCAGTCCATGGCTGGGAGTTCATTAGCTTTTCTGTGCTGGTTCTGTCACCAGATGACCAACAATTATGATGTCATGAACAGGCTTTGCAAAAAAGAGAATTCTTGGAAGTGTCATGGACACAAGGATTTAGAGTATTTACTTTTGATTTGTTACACAACACTTTAAGAAACAATATCATACACACTGCTCCATACCGTACCTATAGATTTATAGACTTATTTTAAGCTTTTTTAACATCTGAAATGCCTGTATTCTTAAATAATTGTGCAATAGTGCAGATTTTTCATTTTAAAAATTCATTTTGCTTTCTTCTCCTTACAACCTTTCTCAGATTATACTGACAGCAAATATGCAGGCTAGTTCACCCAAAAATATTAATTCTGTCGTCATTTACTCATCCTCATGCTGTTCCAAACCTGTGACTTTTTTCTCTCTATAGAACACAAAAGAAGATATTTTGAAGAACTGTTTTTGTCCATACAGAGTCAGTGGGGTCCAAAAACATCAACATTGGATTGGACCCCATTGGCTTTCTTTGTATGGACCAAAAAGCCTTGAGACATTGTTCAAAATATATTTTGTGTTGTGCAGAGAGAAAATATATAACACAGATTTGTAACGACATCAGGGTTAGTGAATGATGAAAGAATTTGCATTTTGGGTGAACAATCCCTTTAAGATAATCAACAATAGCTTTTCCCCATAAGTGATGATGGTACTGTATTCTCACACGCTCTCGAAGATTATTATATAAGAATCTCTTGTTCTGTTAGACTGGATGGGATCTCTGTTGAATATTCAAACGATCCTCAGCTGTATCCATCCCACATTTTTCACTTTGAGTGCTTCTTTCTTTGGTGCACAAGAAGCGTTTTATTGGTTGAAAGCACAACGTACTGAGAAATACGAAGAGTGTCATTTTATATCTTGTCAGATAAAAGTGCTCTGACAATTTATACGCTGGTAAAAGGCTTGATTTTCAGTTGGATGATCAATCAGATTGTTGATGTATTTTTATTTTTATTTTTTTTTACTTAAGAACCCACAGTTAGACCAAAGATGAACTTGGGAGGATGTTTGTGTTGCTTGGTGAATCTCGGAAGTGTTTTATTTTATCTACCAGGTTTCTTTGCCTCTTAGCAAATTGAACTGAAACCATTGGATTGAGATTCATGTTTGTTACACAGACACTTTGGTGACAGTGAACGTAGAAGGAACATTTATCATCGATTGATTTTATCGATCTCTCCGCAGGCACTTTGACTTACAGAGATGGCCTTTAGAGTTGTAGGGTTACTGCTGTATCTGTAGTTACGGACTTAAGACCTTACCTTGGGTAAGGCAGTTCTCCATCTTAAAGGAACACTACACTATTTTTGAAAATAGGCTCATTTACCAACTCACGATGTAACTACAGAACAGTCAAGTTTTAAATGGGAAAAATATCAAAACTCTTTGATCATTTTTGAGCGAGATGCTAACGGTCTAATCAGATTCAATGATCTATGTTAAGCTACAGCTAAAAGTGCTACCACCAGACCCGGAGATCGGCTGAATGGATTCGAAAATCGAAAACGGTAAAACTCAACTGTTTAACTCTTAGAACTCTTAGGGGAGTTGGAAAATTTGCCTATTTTCAAAACTAGTGGAGTGTTCCTTTAACTCGCATAAGGTCTTCTGTGCCAGAGAGACTCTCTACCTCTGACCAGCTTCTCTCAACATACTTCAGTCAATTTGATTTTCCTTCTTTATATTCTTTTAAACTTATTCAGACCTCTTGAGCCTCAACTTGAGCATTTATCACTGAGTGACCAGAACCAACAGATGGAAATCAGATTTTCTTCACTTTCTCACATATTTTTGTAAGCTTCCTCATCTTTTTTCCTTACACTTGCTGTTTTATTAGATTCAACAGAACAGCACAGTTAAGATATTTGTGCAGAAAGTGAGGATAGTGCCATCTTGCACGATAATTAACTCAGTCTACAGTTATCACAAGGTGTTACTATGGCAGTAAGCATGTGTTATTCTCCATCTACCCTTGGTCGTTTTTCAGAAATGTTAGCTGCCTGATGCAGTTGCAGTATACTGCAGCCCACCTCTGAGTCAAGCCTGAAAGAGTCGTGAACCCTGAGTGGGAGAGCTCCAGTTCACCATCCCACAAAGCTTCAGAGGGTCAGATCCAAAAATAGATCCAATGTAGACCCTGGCTGGGGTGCAAGTGATCTCCTCAGAGAGTTGAAGTCATCTGAATCGGACTGAGATCGGTAGGAGGCTGTTTGTCTCCTCTGAATCTCAAGGACGTAGCTCTGCAGTTCTCTCTATGCCAGGCTTATCAGCTACATGAAGATCTTCAGTCCCTGTTGCAAATGGTTAAACCTTTCCATTGGCGTATAACAAACTTTATAATATATGAGATTGAGCTCTGGGTAAAGTATCTGTGGTTCTCTCAAAATGCAATGCATCGCAGCCTACTTAAGGCTACATTCCCTGACCTCATTCTGCAGCAAAAAGAGGACGAGTGAAGCGATTTACTAACCACATTTATTCAGAAAAAATATATATTTTACCCCAGATTTCTTTTACAGAGCAGTAAACTCATAAGCTTAATTTTACCTTGTGGATCCTCCAGGTTTCATGTCAGCATGACGGCGACGTCTCAATCTACCTGTCACGAGTTTTTATCACCAGCTTACATGTTTTCCTTTTGATGTGTCAGAAGCTCGTCAAAAGCCATGTCATTTAAATTCTCAGTGTTGCGACTTTCTAACTCCGTATTTTTGAGCTGTGGGTCCATCCCTCTGTACCAATGCCATTTTGAATTGGGTCATCTGTGGTCTGACGAGCGAAGACCTTTCTGTATGATGTTTATCATGTTTTTTTTCCCCCTTCTATTTTTAATTTCCTGTTTTTATGTAACAGTTGCATGTTAGTTCTGATTTTCCAAGTGACTGTTACCTGCGACTCCAAGCACTGAGTAATTGGCATCAGCACTTCCCTTCGAGGCAGCCAAGAGGAGATCTGAGGTCTGTCATGTCATTCTAGAGAATCACACTCTCTGCGTAACCATGACCCAAAATCCACAGATGGATATTTAGGCCTACTGCTGCTACTAAGAGATTTTCCTGCCAGCTGAGAACATTATTTCTTGACGTCAATGCCGATCCCAGCGATCTAGTCCCATGTAGACCCAGCCATGCCTTAATCTTAATGGGGAGGTTAGCAAAACTCCTTGGATCGCCTTCGCCTCTGCTATACTCAGGCCATTTTGAACTGCTAAAAAGTCATTTATTTCATGTTATAAAACACCAATCAGATCATTTTGAGGGTGTGTTTTGATTGCTGCAAAAGCTAATGCACAGTTTGAAGGTATTATTTTGTGTTTGAGATACACACTGACCTCATAATTAATACATTTCTATCACCGATGCTATTTGTGGTCATTTGGGTTTTGTTAGATTTGTGGGTTGCTTGCCTGAGAGACTGTTAGGGAATGAATTGCAAATGCATTTGAGCACCCAGACGAGGAGCTTGAATCATCGTTTAGTCTGTCCTGTAGAACTCAACTGGCACGTTTGATGTTAATTTTTCATTGCTTGAGAATAGGGGTTCGTTTTGGGGGGAATGACTTTAGCCACTATACTTGACATCATCTTAAACCGAGAAATAAAAGCTGGAACGGATGAAGATACCCATTGCACTAAATCTTTGATGGTGATATATGTAACGTTTGTTGTGGAATAGCGCCCTCTGTTGGCTCTATTGATTTATTTTGACTGAAACTTCTGTTTATTTAGTTTTAGATTCACAGCTGAGTCATGTCTTAAACATTCATTTCTAATCCTTTTAGTATATTTGCATGGCATTGCATTATTTATCTCCAAAGTGCCGCAAGGCAGAACTGAACTGAAGGTTTGTGTTTTGGATGTCTGAGGGTCAAGGGAAGTTGTGTTTGCAGACTTATAAGTCGAGATCTCCAGGTTCTCTCTTGTGCTCTCTCTCTTACAGAGACGATTTAGTGCCTTCCCTGCCTGAGGCTGGGCTTCCTCCACACCCCTTTTGTCTTATGCAAGCCCTTTCTACAAACCTCTGTTAAACCGTCTCTTTGTAATACTGTAGCCAACGCTTAGTGTGCATAATGTTTAATTTGTCTTTTTTTTTTCTTCTTCAAAATATATTTTTCAAGATTTTTGGTACCTTTGATCACAGGCCTCAGAAATATGGTGTTTTGTTGTATGTAAAATGTAAAGTTTTTTATAAATATATATAAAATATGCGATATCTATTTGAGACTGTGTGCGTGTGCATATATTTGTGTATATATACGCGCGCGCACACATACACACAAAAAAAGCATTCTTTTGTGGAGTTGTGGAAAGTGTCTATTTTTCTATTCTTTTCTTTGGCCGGTGTAGTTATGAACTTTACTCTGCAATTAGGTGACTAATGTCTTGGAAATAAATAGTTTTGAGTTATAATGATGTGTGTTTTGTTTGTTCACCAGGTGAGCAGTGAGTAACACCTTGCCATTAGTGGGAAATGGGAGGGGAAACACAGCAGGTCTCATTCACTAACCACACAATCTGCATAGAAACACTTTCATGCAGAAATCCTTATTCGGTTCCCACTGAAATGTAGCCTACATTTGATTTTAAAACTAACTGAAAAAACGCCTATGCAAAAAATCACATGCCAGGGGTGTATTCCAGAAAGCAAGGTTAACTTACCATCACATATACCCTGAACTCTCGGTTGATTAACCCAAATCTGGCTTACTTGAGGTATGCTGGTTCTAAAAATGCGTCCGGGAGTAAGTTCAGTCAACTCAGAGTATGTTCACGGATGAAACCAACGCTAAGAAAAAGTGTGCCATACTGCTTTCTTCATTTACATTATCATTCTTACTATTCGGTGCCATTTCAGCTTGGTAACTTTCCATTAAAAAAAATTTAATTTCCATGATGTAATCATTTTATCTGAAGAAGGGCTTGTCACACTATAAGAAAAATATGGTGGTCCAGCTCAGGATATTATTCTTTAATAATTTTTCACGGAATTCCTCAGACGTGCAAGGACCAAATGTCCACCCTGTTACAGGAAATACTCATCTCAATTAACAAGTGTTTTGAATGCACAGTTATTGTAATATTTACATTTTCTAAGAGCTAAAATGTTGCCTCTCTTTACTCTGCAAATGTATTTTAACAAAGTGTTCATAATCGGGCATTATCTTGAAAAACGTATTTTTGAGACACGGCGTAATTTCAACATTTCTTTTCGAATAGAAATAAATTTAAATGGAATTTTGGAACCATTTTAACTTATTTCATTTTACCGTTTCATTCCCTACAAGTAACCACAAATATATGCATAGCATTTGTTGAACTTATTTTAGTAATATAAAAAAAAAAACACTGAGGTAACAGGGTGGACAGGACATGACATAGGGTGGAAATCACACCACTAAACAACAGTATATTTCAACATGTTGCCTAATACAAGAAGCATATTGTCACAATTTACAATCACTACAATGGATAAATTGTTCTGTATATAAAATACACACTACACACACACACACACACACTAAAATTCCTATCGTTATGGGTTCATGCCATAGGCGTAATGGTTTTTCTGCTGTACAGTCTGTATTTTCTATATCCTTACCCTAACGCTACACCTAAACCTACCCCTCACACAAAACTACAGTTATTTTAGGTTTTCAAAACACTTCATTCTGTATGACTTGGAGTATAAGCTGTTTTCCTCATGGGAACCAAATAAATGTCCCCACAAGATGAGAGTTTACTGTTATTACTATACCTGTGGGGACATTTGGACCCCATAATGCAGGGAATACCAGTACACACACACACACAGCACGTAGACACACACATATTGTAATGGCAAAGTCAAGATAATTTATTACAGTTTCTACCTAATCAACAAAACTGAGTTCTAACACTTTCTTTTTTTTCTTCCTTCCTTTTTATGTCCTTTCTCCACCTCCCCTTCTTTTTATTGAGGTATATCTACCTTCTTTCAGGGTGTGCATCACAACGAGACCTGTAGCGTCGCTGCTTTTCTTCAGCAGACAACAGCGCTATTTCCTGACAATTACATGCATACTATTTAAGTAATTGCTAAATTAATTCATAAGTACCAGTACATGCTTTAATCATTTATGTATGTATTTTTTACATCAGATGTTACAATATGTCCACCCTGTTACAGTGCAAAACAGTAACGGTGGACAGTAACAGGAGGGACATTTTATGCTAAAGTCAGCTATTGCTACTCATGTAATAAACAACAAGCTAGTGCATAGTGATCACAGAGGAAGATTTTTAACCTGCTTATTAATCATATTTTCAAAATGACAAAAAATTATCAGTTTCATTAGAAATGAGCATAACAGAGTAGACATGTTATGCTTTACCACATCAGTGAGTCATTATAAAACACTGAAAAAAGGGTCAATTAAAGATTGTTAATTACTCTGCTTCTTGTAGATAGTTTGCCAACAAAAAGTGTTATACTTCCTGAGAATAGTGTTATTAGAGACACATTCAAGGGCCATGTTCAGAGGGACTTTTCATCAGAGTAACAGGGGGAACGTTCAATTCAGGGACACAACATCTTTTAAAGACTTTAAGCATTAAAAATGTATAAATAACAAAAATTATATTTTGTTGAGGAATATTATAAATAAGAATATACAACAATATTGAAAAAATTGGAATTTGTTTGATTTTTATTACTTATATTTGTGGCTGAAGTTATGCAAGCTTACTTGGGGACATGGCATTTTAGCCTACTTGCACTAAAATAAGAGTAATTATTTTTAATTAATTTTTAAGCACATTTATTGTGTTTGATTGTAGAGGGGCAGTAACTTTGTAAGATTAGCATTCAGAAACAAGTATTAACCAATTTTTACGCAAAATATACCACATTATGTCATGGGGACTCAAACGGCACCGAATACTAGGAAGACTATTTACCTTCTTACTGCTTATCGCCACCTAACTGATGGTTGTGCAATTATTTTAGATTTTTTTTTTTTCATTTAATCTTTTAACAACTATAAGAATACGAATTATATTGTCTGTTTGATGCTAATTACGTAATAAGAAATATCACATATGTATTTTTATTATTGAAATGCATTATAGAAAATGCAGATCCACGATGTGTGAGATGGCAATAAAATGTGATAAATATATCAGAATAAAATAAACATTATCTTGTTATAATAGTGTTTTATAATTTATATATCGATAACTATTATATATGACAATAAATATAACAGAGTCTGTGTGCATTGAATTTAATACACGAGTTTCACAATTTGAGTTGAATTACTGAAATAAATGTACTTTTCCACGACATTCTAATTTGAGATGCACCTGTATATGTACCTTGACTTGAGCTGCTACACGAGTGACAAAAAAGGTCAGACTTTCTTTTCATTTTACATATAGTACTTTTAAAAAATTGTTTTTAAATCTAGTGGCCTTGGTCAGTTTTTTTCCCATTGAAATAGTGTATAAAGCTTGATCAGTTATTAAAGATTATTTTGTTATTTACTATTATTTAAGATAAAATTAAGAAATTTAATTTAAGAAATCCTACAAGTATTACTGGCCTAATGAAATATAAACACAGAAACAATTTCTCTCTAATGGAGTGTTCCTGGGACAAACAGACATCACAGGGCCCAAATGTATTACCATGTTTATTTCTCAAAGATAGAACATTAAAAAGTAACAGAATCTACAAACAAAACAGGTTAAAACAAGATAAAATGAATAAAGCGTTACTAGACAATTCACAATTGTACCTCGACAACCTGAAAAAGCGTTTTTGTGGGTTTGTCATCTAAACAGATTTTTCCAATATGCTGTAGAACTATTTACCAGACGTACATGAATGTGAATATTTGCCATCTCATCAGAACAGTATGAATACTGACTGCAGTCCTAATAGCCTTCTTTAAATAACGGCACCATTTTAAATTGCTTAAAAGAGAGAGCTCCTGAGGACTGACTGTCATTCCTATTTCTGTGACATTATAGAAGTGCTTTTCCATAAATCCATTGTTTTGAATATTTCCATAATGCATCTGGACACTGAGAGCCAATCGGCACAAGCTGAACTGAATGTCATCTCAAACTCAAGCCCTGTTTGAAATGGCAGGATTAATTACAGCTACATCTTTGGAGACACAGAACCTGTCATACATCACTATACAAGATCAAAATCATACAAGGTTATGAGGGCCTGAATATGAACTGCATATTTATTTATTTTACAAAACCATGGGTGGCCCCCAGATTGGGGCAGAAAACATGAAGGATTGGATATGGCTCGTACACTTGAAGTGGCAGAGTGAAGGGCCGTTTAACTGCAGTAGTACTGGCCTGCGTTGGCTCGTCGTCTCTTGCGGCTTTGCTGCTGTTCAAAGAAGTGACGGATGTCCTCAGGCGTCACCACCTAAACAAGGAAGGAGAGGAGGAGAAAATGAACACTAGACACTACAGGCTTACTTCAACTACTCCACACACTCACAAAATAATAAAACACTGAAAACCTACCTTTCCTTCTGCTGCAAATCGCTGCAGGTAGTCCTTCAGTTCTGTCTTCATGTCATTATATTCTGAGGAAAAATTAAATGTCAACTTGATAGAAGTAATAGTTACATTTGAAATCTCATGTCAATCAGAAAACTAATTGGTTTTGCTTTCACACATAAGGATGTTAGTACCACTAAACTCCACTAACCGTGGATGATCTCCAGCTGCTGAACCCGATTTAAGTTGTTTAGGGCCGACATCAAGGGGTCACGACCCTCGGCTCCACCTGCTTGTTCAGCCTGCTCTGTGGACTTGCCCTTGTTTTCATACGCCAGGACAGTGTCCATCTCATCCATGAGGAAAGACACTCCTGCATCTGCATAGAGGATCTAAGCAAAGAAAGCAAAACATGAGACTAGGAACAATATTGTTTTTTTTGTTTGTTTTTTTTAATGTTGCAGAATTGCATCACTTAATCAAGGGTGAAAGCAGTACCTATTAACTAGTAAATCTCCTCTGTAATGTGTGTGTTTGAGCTGTACCTTGCAGTCGGCGCAGGTGCAGAGTTTTGTGCGCCAGGCAGAGGGCCAGAACACGGCACCCTGCAGAGTCTGGCTCCTCCCCGACGCCTTCATCTCTCTCAGCCTGCAACCTGAGCATGAACCCTCCTCTGAGGAACCTTCAGTTTCTTCCTGGTGTTTCCGCTTACAGGCGGATGTCCCGTTGACCTGCACCTGACGGCAGAGAGAAGGTCACCAAATCTTGTGTAAATTGTTAAAATCATTTAACAGCAAAAAACAATGTGGTGCAAATTTAGTTTAGCTCGATTCCTTCAAATTCAGGCTTAATTGAGACAGATAATATGAGATTCCACCAGGAAAAATCTTTAAGACATGCATCATTTAACAGAACTACTGCCACCTTGTGGTGAGATTTCAAAACAAAGGCAAATCTGTATCTAAAACCGTTTTAAGGGTGTTTTCACACCTGTAGATCGATTGCTTTGTTCCGAAACAGGGATTAAAATTATTACAATGTTACTTTTTATTCTTGGTGCAGTTTGCTTTCACACGGCAAAGTTTCTAAACGGACCAAATTTGTTAATACAAGTCACGCGAGAGTAAACTGTTGTCTCATTGGTCAAAGTCCCACAGTTTATTTTCTGGGATTCCACTTAGCTGTCACGCATGCCATCCGTCAGGATGGAACGACAACAGCTTCTTTTTTTGTAGCTGTCCTTATATTAATTGATCATTTTGAGCAGGTGTCCAGGATTCATCGGGAAAACATTTTTTAAATGCACCTACTAGGAAGAAGAGCCAACAATACGGCATTATAAAATGAAAAAGTGAGTTTTTTTATTTTGAATGGCGAAGACGTGCTCACCCACAGACATTCAAAGGTTCATTTTGAAGTATTAGCAAAACAACAAAGCTAATGCTTTTCACGGAACTTACGTAATTACCCATCACAAATTGTTATATAGCCTGGTTCGTTGGTCCGTTAGATCGGATTGCTTTCACTACAACTGAACCTCTCCAGAGTTCGTTTTCAATCGAGCCGAGACCACCTCGTTCAGGCGATCTCAGACCGATTGTTTTGGCGCAGATCCGGGCGCGATTGCAGTGTTCACATATGCCCAAACGAACCGAGAGCTAAGGGGGGAAATGCGCCAGGTTCCGAAACAACAGGCCAAGTGTGAAAGCACCCTAAATCATTAATGCATCTAGTGTCTTCAAACACTTATTCATTGAATACAAGTATCAGATTTAAGTTTGGCTGTCCGCAAAAAAAATGGACAGGAATGAATGGAATAAAATGCCATGTAATGATTCATCCTCCCATTTAGAGACAAGAAACGGACACATTACAGTCCACAGTAAGTACCTTCACATCTGCAGGGCTCTTCGGGTTCTCATTTTTAATCTTCTCCTCTTCATCATTTTCTACCTCCACCTTCACATCCTCCTCTCCTTTGCATGGACTTACTTTTGTTATGGATGGCACTGAAGCAAACAATACAAAATAAACCTTCACAAATGTATAAATGTCGTAAACACTGTAAATATTTTTACTGTCAATTTTGATCAGTTTAATGTGTCCTTGCTGACACATTAATTTCTCTCTTTTTAAAGAGAACCTTGCACTAATTTTCATACTAAATATCTGTAAATGCAAAATGGAAGCAGAAAAAAAATATAACAACATTACCTTCAATATGTGCAGCATAGTTCCAAAGGAAAGGTGTTTTATTCATGCACGACTGGCAGATCATCTCTTGCAGCTCCACACAGTCTGGCACTACGCAGCCTAAATGCTGAGAGAAACACACTTAGATGTTTCAACCTGAATACATTACTTTGCTTATCTACACAGACAAAGAACATTAAATCATGTTCATGTCCTGCCTGACTGCAATCTGATTTGAAACTAACCCGACCATGGAACCAGTCCTCACACACAATACACTGGATCATCTCATCAGGAACCTGAAGAGAAAACACGGTTCATATATGTTTGTAACCTACAGTATGTAATATAATATAAGCACTCCAAATAGTCAGTAGCTTCTTACAAATACAAATCAAATCAGAGTAGGGATTAATAATTAAAAGGAGAATATGCAATACAATATATGACAACAGAATTATAGATAGAGAGAACATTATAGAATGCAGCTTAAATTAAGCCGCACATTACCTCGTCCTCTGGATCTGGGTAGGGTCTGTCACATGTGCAATACAAGCCAAAAAAATTGTGGCTGTATTTGTTCCCTGTATTCACGTTTTCTTTATCCTGTGTAATAGAAATCCATAATCACCATTACTGCAATTAAAACTGAAAGACACGCATTCAAACTAGCGGTAAAACATAACTTACCGCAAATAGCTTGCACTCCATTTCCCCAAACTTGTCGTTCCCACAATCACATCGAAAATTCCTGTATTATCAATAAGGTTTCAATATTAAGTGCAGATTACTCGTAACATATCATAATGATGCAGCCAGTGACAAATACGTCGAGGAAAAAAAACATCTAAATAATCTCACTATCATAGTGACAATAATATTAATACAAATTAGATCAAATATTATGTGAAATGCAGATGGAACCTCATCAGCAGACCATATTCTATAAATGTCAGAGTCAACCAGACTCTGCTAAATGAGTTCGAGCAGCAGCAGCAAATGTACTTTCTTTAACATAGTTTCACAGCTTGAGTGGTTATTTTAGATGGTTTGTGGGAATATTCACCTCTTGGTATAGAGCTCAAAAAGGTCATGGCCTTCATGACACTTGTAGGAACATGCCAGACAGATGCCCGCTGGCTCTCCTCCCTTCGGTGTGCAGGTGTTACAGGCATACAGAGCCTGACGCTTCACATATCCCTGTCAGAACAAAAAACACCTTGTTTTCAGGACCTAGAACTTATTTACATTTGATCACGTGAATGTACATTCAGAGCATTTGCTGACAGCTACTGCTGAACGCACTGAAAAGGCATCCTGCTATTATCTGCTAATGCAAGAACGTTTATTTCAAACAAACAGACGCAGCATCGACGCATTAATAATCATGTTTTATGCTAAACCCAAATCAAAGCAATCCTACAAACAATTTGCAAGAATTATGCAGAAAACCAAGATGAAACAGGCTGTGTCCACGTATAATCCGCATGCTAAACACTGATTATATGAAAAGTCTGCGTTTACATAAAGACTTCAAACCTCTGGATACGAGCATTTCTCGGAATCACTCCCTCCAAGAACAGCGGAGGCTTCGTTCTCCAGCTCTTCATCCTCCTCTAAGACGTCCACCAGAGACACAGTAGCATCCTCCTCTCCATCATTTGCCGCCATCCTTGAAGAGACGAGCGCACAAAAAGATATTTCTAGTTCCTGTTCCAGGGCACGAAAGAGTCACGAACTCGACTGTCACCGAGATCGCGTTTGCCTGGAGACAGCGGGTCCTCTGTAACAGAACTAAAGGAAAGATGTGGGAAAGTGTCATGCAATTTAACGTTAACTTACCCGAACAATTTTTCGGGCTTGACAATAATAAAAACTAACGCTGCTTCCGGTTTATGCAAATATAAGATGTTTTGGCGGGAGTTGTAAATAGAATTTATTATTTCAGAGCTATTTTTTTCTGACTAACGTGTATTATTACATCACACCCACATTAACTCAATGATTCCGGATGAACAGAAAAAATAAGAATTTTCGCAAAACCAACTCGATAGGTCAGAGTTCAAAGGGTAGATCAGTGTTGCCATGTCCACTTATTATACCGCTTATAAATTGTGCATCACTTACTGATTTGTTATTATATATATATTCTCCTGACAACCAGCTATGGAGTTAGCGATTATTTTTTAGCGATTTCTCTGAGAACGTCCATGTCACAGTTTTAAGTCTGGATGTCCTGAACAGAGCACACTCAGAGCTTTCTAGAGATACCAGTTGTTTGGATGTTTCACCATCACCACTCCCTCTCCTTGGTCTTTAAATATGGCTGACATTAATTTAGTGATCAAATTCAACACCCTTATGGAAATATGATAATGTTTTGTAATTGTAAAGTTTTGCAAGTGCGTTGGGTAATGATCATTTAAATCGGACTAATTTTCAAATTGTTGGTCATAAATCAACATCTCAGGAAAATGTTATGGGGTTTCAAATCAAAATATGACTTTCTGTTACCAAACAGGACATTGATTTCATACATGTCCACTGTAGAGGACACCACCTAAAGTATGTTTATTACACATTTTGGGAGACACAACAAATGAATAGGGAAATAAATTATATTTCAATATTCCTATGAAATATAAGATATTATTATGAAAATCTTACCAGTTATTACTCCCATTATTGCACTTCTTTTTTCATTACATGTTGCCCCAAAAACAAATTAATATGCAAATTACATACAGTTTGTAGATACATTGTACATAATGAGACAACCCGTTTATGGCCATTTTACACACGTTGCATGAAGGAAAATGGTATATCAAATCATTCTGTTATATCTTTCATAACATAGCTGAGAATCATTTTTATACAAAGTTTGGTATAAATTTTTTTTAATGGATTGGGGATTTTTTTTTTTTTTTTAATCACTGTTTTTGCTTTTTCATGTCTATTCATGTATTTTTATTTATTTTAAAAACAGGACTTTTTAAAGTCCTGTTTTTAATAGATAACAGATAAATAAAATATAATTTTTAAAAAAAAAACATATTTTCTTCATTTTTTTCTTATGCTCTAAACAATGTGATGACATGAAAAAATATTAAATTCAACTTTTTTTTTCTTCTGGTAGTCAGGAGGATATAATGTAATAATGTAATAATTATAAATAATAAAAATAAAATATAATAATAATAAATATAAGTATTTTTGATGATATTGCAATTACTTGACTATATTTACATATGTGACCTTGAAGGAATCCAAACGTAATCAGATTACATTACTTTCATATTGTGGTGCTTGCATTACTTTACTGAATACTTTTTTCATTAAGTAATTTGTAACTGTAACGGAATACATTTTTAAAGTAGCCCTCCAAGCCTATAAATATATATATATATATATATATACACAAATTATTCCATTGTCACATTTTTATATAGTTATGTTCATGTTTATGCTTATGTCTCTCAAATTGTTAATTTGCTGTCTGTTGCATTTATTTAGATGACCAGTTGTATATTGAAATATTTGAGCAATTTTTTGTAAAATTATGTAATTACTGATAATAATATTTTAAAGAATTTTGTAGTTTATTCATGTTAACCTGTAATGTACTCTATTCCATTCTATTTTATAAATCATTTTTTAGATGCTCCATTTTTTTAGTCCATGTTGCGTGGTTTTCTTGTGCGATCTGGCAACCGAGTTACAGCGTGTACCTGCAATATGGCAGCGTGCGAGCTGAAGGGAGAGCTGAAGTACCGAGATGGACAGACAAACCAACAGTTTACAGTACAAGTAGATGGCAATTTGAAATCAATGATAACTGGCATCAAGAAATTAAATGCTGATATATCTGAAGTTTTGACGGCTCTTGTTGAACAAGAAAGGGGCTCAGCGGAAAACAGCACAGCAGATGTAGATGGTAAGCTGTTACAATGAAGACTGGGTTGTTTAAATGGGAAACCAACAAACTTAAAAACAAAAAGATCAAATAAAATAAATGAATAAAAAAATCATACAATAAAGGAGCGAGAGCAAGCGCAAATCCTGGCATCGGCAGGTCGCAGCGCCACTTCCGGTGGCATCCCCAGCTGCCAGAGGTCCAGGCAGCTGCCACGGTCTTTCTCACTGTTTCTACTGTTTGCTCGGTAAAACTACACTGTTCTCAGTGGCGTGCGGTGATGTTTTTTTTTAAATGATGATGCAAAGTTCCCACAATTTTATTATTATTATTATACAGTACATTTTTATGTATCAGTTGCCAGAGTTCTTGCCAGGAGTCAAAGGCAGCTGCCACGGTCTTTCTCGCCGTTTCTGCGGTTTGCTCGGTAAAACTACACTGTGCATACTATATACAGGAGCGTAGCCATCATTTCAGAAGTGAGGGGGACAGAAATGTTTTATATACACACACACACACACACACATATATATATATATTCATACCCCTTCATATATACTGTATATAGGAAACTTTATTTAGTCTCTTATTTCTTTTTTTTAATTGGCTAATAAATCAGATACACTGTTGGACAATAACCAATAAATGATTTGTTAATGTACTACAAATGCACTACTTTTTTTTTATTTTTATCTCATAATAAGGCAGAATACTTTCTGTACTGTAATAAATGCTATGTCAAGTAGCACTGAATTGTTCGTATACTTTATTTATTACCTGGAGATGATTTTAAAAAGCATATATATATATATATATATATATAACCTTACTATTGTCATCTCCCTGCATTAAATAAACATTACATTTAAAAGGCAAAATACTATTATATTTTGTATTTTTACACTATGTAATATTCTGTTTCTCAAAACCAATAAATCTCATCAAGTTAGTGTTTTTACGTATTTTCATATTTATTCCAAAATAATAACAAAAGACAGTAATAATATAAACAATATATTTGATTTGTCAACTGATGTTGAGCTGTTCTTTTTAGCTTTCCCAGCGGGTGTGGCTGTTGTACAATTGCACGTGTACAATTGCACATGTTTGAATGGTGTACAATTGCACATGTTTCTTAGGCCTGTTTCTTGATAGAAACGTAAAATTTAACTAATAAAAAAGCAATACGTGAACTGAAGTCACAGCATTGGAGTTTACGAGACAACTTTGTTGTTATGAGCACTGCACTTTACATTTAGACCATATAGGCCTAACATGTTTTAAAGTAAAAGCACAAAGAACGTTATGTTTTAAGGAAAAAGGCCTGAAGATATCCCGGCAAGGGATACAAATAAGTGTTCATTTGGACTCACTATTACAGTAATATTATAGTTTCTTACTGTTTACCAAAAACAAAACATAAAACTACAACTAAACAAAAGCTAAAATGAATATATACATACACACACACACAAATACATATGGTCACACTTTAGTTTTGGGTCCAATTCTCACTATTAACTTAACTATTGACTTTTGCCTAAATAAACTATTAATTACTGTTCAGGTATAGGGTAAGATGTAGAATACGGTCACGCATAATAATGCACTAGTATGTGCTTTATGAGTACTAATAAACGGCTAATATAGTAATATGCAAGCAACTAGTTAATAACTAAAGTGTTACATTAAATAAATAAATGTTTTGTCACAGTGTCTGGTTGTGGTGCCCTGGACTGGCCACTTGAGGGCCACTCCCGTTTCTGTGTTACATGTGTTGAACTCCATTTCCCATAGTCCCTTGCCTGTCGTGTCTGTTATGATCATGATCTCCTGTTAGTCATTTACTCATCATCCCATCACTACATATACCATGCTCACTCTGTCTGTCTTTGCTGCAGTATTATTCGATTCTGATGTTTGTGTTTGATGTTGTTAAGGTTACATCGTGTTATCTGTTCCCTGTGTTTTGGATTACCTTTTGCCACGTTTCTGTTCTGTTTATTTTATACTTTAATAAACTGCACTTGGATTTATCCTTGTTTTCTCCTGCCATTCCATGACATGTTTGTGTTTGTGCATATATAACATTTAACATTAATTGACATGACATCTGGCACTCCTTATGTGTGTGTATGTTCTTTATGGGAAAATGCTTATGAAATTTAGTTTATTGGGTTCACATTCTGATCGTATCTGCATGCTGGTATATAATATGCATCATCAAATCTTTTATTTACAAACAAAACAGTGTAGTTTACAGCAGAAACGGCGACAAACGATCGTGACTCCTGGCAAGAACTGGCAGCTGATACATAAAAATGTATAATAATAATAATAATAATACAATTGTGGGAACTTTGCATCGTCATTTTAAAAAAAACATCACCGCACACCACTGAGAACAGTGTAGTTTTACCGAGCAAACAGTAGAAACAGCGAGAAAGACCGTGGCAGCTGCCTCGAACTCTGGCAGCTGCCAGAAACGACTAGTGGCAGCTGCCAGAAACGACTAATGGCAGCTGCCACGAACTCTGGCAGCTGCCAGTGGCAGCTGGGGATGCCACCGGAAGTGGCGCTGAGACCTGCCGATGCCAGAGAGAGTGCCAGTCCCTGCAGGAGCAAAGACTAAGACGGTGGCAGATGACAGCGAGCTCCTTAACTTTACTGATACTGTCTTCTGTCGTTTGCTAAGCAAATATGTTAAGCAGTGACACAACTGGCTTCTATTTACTTACTTTAGAATGCTTTATTATTTCCATATTCTTATTACAATTAAGATTGTTACTTTTTATTCATTATATTTGATCTAATTTTGTAACTTCTTTCTATTTTTGAAACCCATGTTATAGATGAAGAGGAAGAGGACAGTGATGAAGAGGATAGTACCTCAGAAATGGCCACCAAAAAGTCAAACTCAGAACCTCCAAACAAGCGGAAAAAGACTTTGCGGTCATGATCTTCAGAGCTGTGGTTGTTTTGTTATGACCTTTATAAAGGTGTGTTGTTACATCAGTACCCTCCTCCT